TCTCTCTCTCTCTCTCTCTCTCTCTCTCTCTCTCTCTCTCTCTCTTATTTAACACCAAGCCGTTTCTTATTTATAAACGCTCCAATTCCTTCCGTAACTTCCTGCACTGAGGTTCCAAATCTCTCTACAACTTTCTCTCTCTAGCAGAGGTTCCCTGAACAAATGTCACCACCCACTTTAATACCTACCCAAAACTAGCTCTGAAAGCTCTGAATGTCCTCACAATTAGCTGCTTCAAATACAAATTTCTCTCTCTCTCCTCTTCCTATCTCTAAATTTGGACGAGTGTATTTCATGCAAGGGCCAGCTAAAGCAACAGCTATTCCCTTTCCTTATCCGGATTCGGCCATTAAAACCGCCCCATTCCGAGATTTTGCAGAGCCATTAATGACCCTACAAATAGTTAGAGAGAGAAACACTTAAATGCGTAGCACTGTAATGGCCTCGAATTGCAGAGACTTAACCGGGATATCTTAGGTTTTGTCTGGAAATCTCAGGCCCCCTTCGTCCTAAATAGGGTCTAATTATGGGGGTAGGTGGTAGAGAGAGAAATTTGAACTTTTCGTAAGGACAGAGAAAGGCGGTACCTTCAATGTTGCTGGTGAAGATGAGAGAGAGTTGGGTTTTTTTTAGCCGGAATCTTTTGCAGTGCGAGGCCGTTAATTGGGTTTTTTGGAGGGCTGAGATCTGAGAGGAAGGAAATAGAGAGAGAGAGAGGAGGGGGGGATTCTTGGGTTGTGAAAAGAGAATGGAAAAGTAGAGAGAGAAAGCAAGGAGAAAGGTTTCTGTGTTCTTCTGGTTTAGAGTTGGGGTTTTCTCTAACAATAACTCTGCTGTTCGTTGAGAGATTTCACGCACAGTTGAGTTATTACTTGTTAGTCTTTGGCTCTTAAACCCGCCGTTCCCTTTTTAAAAGCAGTCATCCTCTCGCACCCACATGAGAGAGAAGAGAGAGAAACAGAGAGCTACTTCAATTATAGAGAGAAAGAGAGACATGTAGAGAGAGAGAGATACAGAGAGCTACCTCAGTTAGAGAGAGAAAGAGCGTGTCCCCACGCAATGAGCGAGGGACCCATTTCCACGCTCAAACCATTAAGAGACAGAAAGCCCGCGTGACCACGCTCCTTAGAGAGAGAATTCGCATGACGGGGCATGTGCGCCCCCAGAGAGAGAAAGTTTGGGCCACCTCCATTTTTCTAGAGAGAGAATATAGTCACCCAAGAGATAGAAAGAACACTTTTTTTTGGAATTTAGAGAGAGAAAATTGCAGTTCCATTTCATTTCAAACGTATGGGCAGGTGATAGGAAATTTTTTCCAAATAGACACTAAATTCAACATCTTCAGTACTTACTGCTCTTTTTATAAATTTATTTGGAATAATTGTTTTGTTATTCAGATTTGAAAAATGGTTTAATAGGGCTAAATCACTGTTAAAATAAGCAAAGCCCTACTCATATCTTATCAAAAATTGCAATTCAAAGTGTTGAAATCGGTAACACTCATATCTTGCAATTCAAAGTGTTGAAATCAGTAACGGATCGGTGTCTCGGATCGGGCATCTCAAAAACCCATTTGGATCCGTGAATCGGTGATCTGGATTGAAAATCGGCCGAATAGATCCTATTAAGCTTTAAAAAAAATCCAAAAAAATTATAGAAATTCATTATAAATGTTACAGGGGTGATTCACTGTTCAAAATCACCGATTCTCCTCTAGGATCGGGTGATTCCCGGTTTTGCAAAAGAATCGACACTGGTTGCCCGATTCCTGTATCTACTCGGGCGAGTCCGTTGCGACTCGCCGATTTTTAAATCACTGGTTGAAACCTTTAAATTGAATATCTTAGCTTGAACATTATGGTTTTGAAAAAAATTAGGATTTCAAATTCTAAAAATAGTGTAAATCCAACGTATCATCTAGACCATTCATTTCACCTTAAATATAAGTGCTCACCGATCTTCAAATGTGTACCATTTTTTAAGTTTTAAATTTTGGTTGGAAATTAATTTTAGAGCTATCATGAAGATTTTCTATGCCAAAAGTATTTTATAAATGAGGATTTATAGCCTAGACCCCATAGAAACTTCATCCTTTAGATTTTATTAGGACTCAATCGGACTCAATCTAGGCCCTAGGCCTTGACTAGGCCGAGTTAGGGCGAGTTCTAGAGCAACTTGCAAAAACCCTTAAAAAATTAAAAATACAAAAAAAATGGGAAAACACTGTTATATAAATAAAAAGTTTATATAAGGTTGCAACCTTAAAATGCAGAATTAAGTTGCACTCCAAAAATCAGTCATAAAAGGTTGTTTTGATGGTGGAAACCCTCCAATTGATCATCTAGATATCGATATGTATGAATATGAAAAGAAAAATAGATTTTGAGTCAAAAAAATAGTATATCTTGCAACACATTATCTGGACCGTCTATTTTCAAGATATACAAGTATTTATAGATCTTTTTGATTTCAACTATTTTTGGAGTTTAAGATTTCATAATTAAAGATGAAAATAAATAATCAAGCCATCCTAAGAATTTTTTATACCAAAATTACATTTATGATATAATTTGGAGGTGCGTCTCAATTTGATTGTTTAAGGTTGCAACCTTAAAACAAACTACACCCTTAAGTTTTTTAATTATTTTGATAATTTTAAAGATAATTTGGGAACTCTTTTGCTTTTCTCTTTTTCTTAATTTTTCTAAAATATTTCATATTCAAATCAATTTTTTTAGTAATATATCTTTTATAGAATTTTTTCATTTTCGTTGGTCTTCTTATAATTTCTATTACCTCTTTTAATTTTTCAAAATTTTAACTATTATTTCTAATTTGTAAGAACAATTGTTTCATGCAGTTTGGACCGCATTTCTACAATATGCGGTCCAGAGGTATAAAGCATCCATCTTAAAGATGGATACAAATAGGTGGTCCATCTAAAAACAATTGCAACTAATGGTCCAAATGTTTTCTTAATATAGTTATTATTTATAGTTTTTAAAATTTGTTTATTTTTTCATATTCATGATCTGTGTTAAAGATTATATTTTTGTAAAATAGTTAGGATCAAATTATATTTAAAAAATATATTTATTGCAAAGCTCACATTTCTACACTATGCGGGTTCGCTGCATGCTAACAGCATCCAATTTTTAAAACTCTCTATTTTTTTAGTCCCTTCAGACTGGCCCGATGGCTGCCATTCTCTGCCTCGTTAAAAAATATTTGATTTATAACTATAAAAAATAATAAAATCCTTATTTTTCATGAGTCTTGGCTCTTTCCTAGCTTGGAGGTTAGGACTTAGAACCTGAAGGGCGTAACAAAATGTCCAAGGATTGAAACCTCCTACCCAGATCCATCACATTTGACATAGTTTAAGAGTTTTCAAAATCTTAAAGAGAGAGAAATATCAATTTTCTAAATCTACTGAGAAGGTAGATCGATTTTCAAAATGAAAGGATTACAACTTGCAACTTGCAAGAGAGAGAGAGAGAGAGAGAGTGAGAGAGGAGGGTCTGTTTCACAGTGTCAGTTTTCATGATACGTCCAATTTCAAATATGATTAAGAGAGACGATTCCAGGGGAAATTTATGCTGATGTTGCTTGTAATGGTCCAATGGTATTAGAAAATGACCTTCATATTTTAAAATTTAAACTCTAATTTTTATTTATTCTTCGGTAAGTTTAGGGTTTGAGGATTTATCACCTAGATCCTGCTTTAGATCCGAAAACTATTCATCGGATCCATAATATATTCAGCTTTAGATCTAGATCTGAGGATTTGGATCCAAATCCGAATTCGGATCAGTTCCAATTTTGTATATTATAAAGTTAAAATATAATTATATAAAAGTTAAAATAATTATTTATATTATATAAATTAATAAGGACAGGGTTTTATGCAACCAGTAATGCAGGCTTGGAAATAAATATATATTTTAATATAACTTGATCCTAATTTTTAGTCAATATATAATCTCTAACATGGAGATCATTAATATGATTTTTTTTCTTTGAAAACTAGAAATAATTTTTATTTTAAAAAAACATTTGGACCGTTAGTTATAATTGTTTTTAGATGGACCACCTATTTGCATCCATTTTTAAGATGGATGTTTTATAACTCTAGACCGCGTATTGTAAAATTGTGGTCCAACCTGTATGAAACAATTTTCCAATTAATAAATAAAATTATATATATATATATAAATGAGCTCCCTATAAATATAAATTTCAAATATTCAATGTGATATATCTTAAATCATAAAATGATTATTCGTCAAGATAAGTATTGGGTACATGAATTCAATTTTTATCTTTTTAGAAAGAAATTGTCTACCCTATACTTGCTAACTATGGTTTACTCATAACTACCCCAAAAAATACGCACCATATCCATAGCAGAGTACCAGATAAAGTTTCGATGGAATAGAAATAAAAATTCCATAAAACAGGACAAAGATATTGAACTTTCCAAAAACAAATCAGAGTATATTAATAGGAAAGATTTTTTGAAACGATTTTTTCAAATTTTGAAAAATCACGTTTAAACTTCTTCTTGAAAAGATCACGTATTTTTACCGATCTATTGAAAAAGTCGCGATTAAATCGGCGACTTGCTAACTATGGGCTATACTCGGATCCGACACATTATATTCGGATCTAAATTTTGGATCCAAATCCAAATCTATACCTGGATCTGTATAGGTTCCAAATTTGGGTTTCGGATCCGGATTGGGTAAATTCTCAACCCTATTAATGTTCTACACTGTCTATTTTAGTCAAGGAAAATGGTTTGATAGGGCTACAACCATAGTTAGCAATTCGGGGATTATGAATAAATCGGCTTACCATGGAATCAAAAACTACTCGTTTTTATTTAAAAAAGTCGGATAGAGAAATCAGGTAAACAATATGGATAGGCAAAAATACTTCATGTAAAGAAATCGCGAATATATCGGACTAAGCTAAAAAAATCAGAAAAAAAAAAAAGAAAAAAAGTTGATCGTAGTGAGGAGTAATGCTTTCACACTATCTATATATTACTCAGTATAAAAACGGCCTCCCTATATCTAAAGGGAAAAGTTTATACAAAGTCGAAGCTCTAAACCATCAAATTAGAGCCCACCTCAAAAATTTCACTGTTTTGATGCCCAAATATCTTTAAATTGATCATCTCGACATCAAAAAGTATATATATGAGAAAAAAATAGATTTCAAGTTTTGAAAATTGTGCATCTTGTAGCGTGTTTTTGGACCATTAATTTTCAAGATTTTCAAGTTGTCATTGATCTACACTATTTTTTAAGCTTTAAATTTTATAATTAAATATAAAAATATATTTTAAGGCTTTCACAAAGATTTCTAATACTAAAACAACTTTTCTCGAGTTGAAGATAGGCTCCAATTTGATTGTTTAAAACCTCGGCTCTATACAAACTGCACCCATATCTAAATCATAAGATGGTTATCTATTATGTTCATGTTCGTCAAGATAAGTATTGGGTAGATGAATTCAATTTTCATCTTTCTAGAAAGAAATAGTCTACCCATGCTTGCTAACTATGTTATACCCATAACCACCCAAAAAAATACACTGACAACTAGAGAAAGTTTCGGGAGAATAGAAATAAATTAGAAATAGAAATTTTATAAAGCAAAAAAAAGATATTGAACTTTCCAAAAATAAAAGTAAATCAGAGTATATTAATAGAAAAGTTTTTTTGAAACGAGTTTTTCAAAATTTGAAAATGTCGCTTTTTAGACTTCTTCCTGAAAAGATCATGCATTTTTACCGATCTATTGAAAAAGTCCTAGATTAAATGGTTTTTAGAAAAAGTGCCGATTTAAAAAAAAAATTGAGATTAAATCGGCGACATGCTGACTATGGTTACAACCCTTTATCATAATAAATAAAGCCTAACCTCATAACTGATCGAAAATTGT